ACTGTTGTCTCCGTCCTGTACAAAGTGTTGTCGTTTCGAGTTTGCTGTCTTGTTCGAAATTCACGCAACATCTTGATTGGTTTATTGCTGTTTGGGGTCTTCGCTGGTGTAAGTTTTTGTTGTTTTTTTTTGGTGTTCCCCTAGGAAAAAAATTGGTTTTCGGTGGAAAAAGCAACTTTTCCTGGGAAAAGTTTGTGTTTCACTCCAAGATCAAATTGTTCCTAGCAAAATTGTGTATTTCACTGGTTGTTTGTGCACGTTACGAAATATTGTTGTAAATCAGGTTCGGGTGTCATTGCTATTGGCACTCGGTTCCGCGTAGCATTAATATCATACAATTGGTAATAACCAGTGCATTATTCNNTTTTGGGCTACATAGAGAGCTAGTACTGCAGGTTCAGGACCCAGCATATCAGGGTTATCACAGCTACCACTACGATTTTTTCTAGCTGACTAAAGTTGTAAATTGACAAGGAGACACATCGGGATCAAATTATGGGTGGTGCTAAGCCTACTATGGATCGCCTTAGGGCGGCTGGCAAGGCGAATACTACGGTAACCATTGGCATAAGGGCGAATGACACGGATACGCTTAGGGTTGATGTTGTTTGGAATCAGGAGTCATTTAGCGATCCTCGTCATTATGTTGGTATCTAGTACAGGTTTCACCTTTGGGTTAGCATGTGTATACACATACATGTACAAACACGCATACCGGCAAATCCGACAGCAAGTCCGGCATGATCATATAATACAGTGAGACAGGGGGTGCCATAGACGAGATGTCGGGGTAAACAAACAAATGCTGGTATCATCCCTGATAACCTCTGAGGCCAATGGTATGGTTTCTTTTAAAACCATTATTCGGATTGCTGTGGAAGGATGTGTCCTGTGCAATACGCAGGTGACCATGGGAACAGCTTACGGGTAATGTATATTGATTGCAAGCAAGGTCCATCTTGGATTCAGACCCAATATTCGGGTTGCCTAGGGACTGCAATATCCTTACTATCGGGATACGAACTAAGACATGAATCTATAAGGAGTTTTTTTTGGGTGAACATGAAATAGAAGACTACTCGCACCATTGGGGCCGATGTAAGGTCTAATGGCAGGGTCAGTCTCAGGGATATTGCTGTTTAGGAATAGCAGCCAGCCAAGGCCCACGGTCATGTACGTATTGCTGGAGCCTTGATCTGAGACAACATGAAGGCTACCTCGGGAGATATTAAAACTCGGGCCCATATCAAGCTTCGGGTATTCAGACAGAAATGAATTTCATCATTTTCATCGTTGGAGACATCATCTTGCGGAGTATCTGTGAAGGGTCGGAAGAAGTGAGAATGAAGACTTCTGCCGATATACGTATACGGTCTCCTCGGGACTTCAAAACCTAACGTTAAACCTGGGTCATACACCAGAAGCCTCAACGCAGGAGGATTGGTGGCGCTCTCGCGGCACCTCGCCGTGGTTCTTGGGAGCGGCAGGGGGGGGGGGTGTTAGCATAAGCATAATTATATATGTATACAAATATGTATACAAATATGTATAGAACTATGTATATTTATAACAATAATAATAATATAAATATAAATATAAATATAAATATAAATATAAATATAAATAAATAAATATAAATATATATATATATATATGTATATGTATGCACACACACACACGCATAATTGCATTGATTCTGCATCATGCTGGTGCTGCAGAAGCGGGCTGTCTGCAGCCCCCTCCAGAGTTCAACACATCGCCTCAAGTGCCTCGACAACTCGAAACTGATTATTGTTGTTGGAAGCACCGGGCATAGGCTACTCCTTCTGTACTGGCTGGCGAGGACAGCTCGCGGTCCCTAACTCATGGATGCATGGATGCAACACTTATGCAGGACCAGGTAACATCGCATGTTTCTGACGGCCTCGGAATTGGATGGGCTCGCCTCGTCATCCTCTGTCAAAGCTGCTGCCCTCTAGAAACCAAGCGGTGTGGCATGGTCCAAAAGTCTTCCAGTTCCTATGCACCAAAGGCATACCTGTTCAGTAGTATACGTGCTCGGAAAACAGTGTCTCCTCGATGGTGGCCAGCATAGGATCCTCTGCGGAAAAGAGGTTCTGCTGGCGGTAGAGGGGCCAATCCCTTGGAAGTAGCTTGCAGCCGCAAACGTGTGCAGCACTTACTGAGCTTGCAGACTCGCTGTGCTCACCAAGCTGCACGTCCATAACCGCGTAGGGCACTCTCCGAACTTCTGTACCCTGGGACGTTTGCTGCTGTTTCGGGGGGTCAAGCCCCTTCCCCCGTTTGCTCACTAGAGTCGCATCTCGATCATCCTGTCAACCGAAGAGTTTCACAACTCGCGAAAAAGTGGGTGGCTTGCTGCACGGCACACGGGCGTCTTGGAAAGTTGCTTTAAATCACCAAACCCACAAAACTGTCCTTGCCGGGACGAGGAGCAGGCGAGTCCAGCACCTCAGAAATCCGGACACAGTAGCAGCACGTCAGGCTGCCTAGATTGGAACTTTACCCGAACCGTGTGGAAAGGCTTTGTGCGATTTTTTGAACTGTTGTTGGGTAGAAATCACTGAAGTTCGAGCTGGGTCACACTATTCGCCTCCTCGGGGCTCCTTGAGGTGGTCTCAAAAGCCCGCCATCTCAGGGGTTCGGCAATTCAGTTCGTGTCCCGCCACAGTCCCGTGCGTGCAGCGCCTACCAAAACCGTCCTCCCGCAACAGCGCTTCACAGATTTTGGCTGCGATCGTGACTACGCCAGAGTGCGGTGCTTGAGTGTGGTGCTCATTTTGTACTCATGGGGTGCCCCTGAGCGTGCTCCTGGGGTATGAGGGCTTAGTTTTTCCACTGCTTGAAGCTACTTACTTGGGTTGGGTCTACACTGGCATAATGACACCAAGTGGGCCTCATGTCTGTGGCTGTCAACATCGGTCATCGGTTCTGGAGAACGAGAAGGCAAGACAAGCTTCCTACCTTGTAAGGCGATGAACAAGCTCGAATGCTTCAGCATTTCACGTGCCCACAATCTCTAGCTTACAAGCTGCACGCATGAAAAGGCCAGCTTACAAGCTGCACGCATGAAAAGGCCCTAGACACGAAAAGACACAGCAACAAATCTTCATCTCTGAGACACCAGAAGCCTCACCCCCAAGTCCCAAGCTCTTGTCTGACTCCAACCCTGCTCATGAACACTCACCTGTACACTGGCTCCACAAAACCGTGCCTGCAACCTCGAGTCCAAGTCGAGTCAAACTCAATAGTGGTAAAACTAGAGCACTCATACCTCTCAAATGTCGGTGCACACCGTCCACCAACCTTGGCATCAAAGCAAATTGCAAGGAAATTGCGAGGCGCTCGGAACAAGCAGTCCAGACCGCGCTCCACGGTGAAGAAGCGTTCGCCAGGAAGAGGCCTCGATCTTGTTCTCTTGGATTCATACACAGGAATCCCTCCTATTATACGGTAATATCCATTCTGATGCCGCTTCTGCTCCGGGACGAGTTCCCGAGTCACCCGAGGCCGGCTGTCTTCCGTGCAAGGCCGTGGCTTGATTCCGTGGTCTTCCACCATGCCGGTCTCGCCCCAACCTGCCAGGTTGTCGGGGACCGTTTCACACGTCCCTAGAAGCCATCCACAACGAACGATTGGCTTCAGCACCCTCCATGTTGCCTCGAGCCTTCGATGGTCTCAAGACATGGCTGGCCTCCCCACTGAATGGACGGCATGACCGCATCCACAAAGGTGTTGCCTGGAAGCAAAGCCATGCCCGGGTCCCTGCTCTTGGCTCTGAAGTGAGAACCAGGCCTGCAGCATAGGTGGACTGGCCCGGAACGCCGAAGAGCCCCGATGAAGATGAGAATGCAATCTGGGCAAATAGGACAAGCTCTTTGTACTCTAATCATGGGTGCTGAGACCGGACGCTTGTTCGGCCAGGGGCAAGTGGAGATGACGAAAGACATGGGCACAACTCATACCTCCCTGGCTGATGCTTCAAACCAGTTCTGATACTTTAATTATGTAGCACATCTTCCTGATTATACTCTGCTGCGCCCCCCGAAACCTAAAGCTTTGTTCTTGCTTCTCACATCTTCTCGCCTTCTTCGCATCCGGATACTTGCTCCTGCGTCGAAGCAGGGAACTCGTATATGACGGACCACTCTTAGCCGAGCCCGCGATTCTTGGTTGGAACTGGGGACCGACTGTCCAGTGGGCCCGTCTTCGCCAACACGCAGCAATCGCATGCAGTCCTTAAATGGATGGCCCCACGAATCTTGGGGCGGAGGACCTGGCAGCAAAGGATTGCTTTCGCTACTCAGGGACTCATGGCTGCCTGCATTCGACACCGACTTCCAGGGAGGCCTTCAGGGCATCTGCATCCGTCAAATTAATGATCACACCGTCCTGCCCGCTGCCGGCCGCATTGCAACAATCATGATGCTTGCTGGAGGCGAGTTCCAGCCGCGATGAAGCGTGACGGGCTCGTTCTTGCATCTTCGCACGCCCCGGTCGCTCAATTTAGTGAAGTTGTGAGTCCTTGACAGCGCCGGCACAATGGATCACCAAGTCGCATTGACCGGGCAGCTCGGAGACCTGTCGACACCCGAGGCCATGCCCTGTTGTGCCATTATGCATACTCAGAGCTGCGTGTGCACGTTTAGCTTTTCAATTTCTCCTTCGGCTACTAAACTGACCCAAACCTCCTGCGAGCAAAGAGCCCAATGTATGTTTCTCCACCAACCTGATCACCTGCAGAAACCCTTTATGCTTCAGATCTGATGCACCTCTCGCCAGCTTGCCACGTCACAGCAAATGACCTGGCTCTGCATGAAATAATCATACACCGTGAGTGCGCGGTGCTTGCTGGGTGGTCGTGGAGAAGGTATGGAGTCCGGAGCCTTTCTCCGTGAGGAAAAAACCCTGGGAATTCGGTGCATCCCAACATCAAAGCCCGCCTCCACGGGCAGAAGTTCTGAAAGCTCTCGAACTCGATCCGCTGCAGCACCTGGAAAATCTCAGAAGGGTGAAAGTCGAGCAAAGTTTTCGGCAGCGAAGAAAGAGGGAGATGGGGGACAAGCAAGCTGATGATGGCGGTTTCCCCCGCATTATCCTGAAGTTTTCAGTCTATGTCTATGGCACCGTAGGCAGTTGGGGGCACAAGAAACACGCGATAGCCACCAAGCCTTGAGGGGCACGGCGCCCGACCAGAATCAAGGATTCGGTCCTGGAAGCATGCGGCACGCGCTTCGTTTCGAGGCGCTTCTGCCTTGACGGAGCGCGAGAGCATCGAGAGCGAGACCGGGCCTCTTCGTGGCCGCCAAGCGCTGGGCAACGGCCAGGCCGAGACCCCTCAAACCGCCAGTGACCAGGGCGCACCGGGCCCTGACATGGGTGCATTGACTTTTTTCGGATTCTTCCTCACCGCATACCTCTCTGAAGAAATGCTGGAAATTCCGCCGGTCCGAAAGGAGGTGAGGGGACCTATCCAGGCATGGCTGGCTCATATCGGTCAAGCTAGGCGTTTCTAACCATTTCGACATGCTCACCACTTGCACTTGCGCAGCTTTGCAGGCATGCCTGGGTGCATCGTCTGAGGGCAATGGCGCCGTACAGCGCTGCAGTCGTGGGGCGAAGGTGCCTCCAGAGTGATGCGGAGCGATGCGATGTCGAAAGAGGCTGTACCCGAACACACGTCCACATCGAGTCCGGCACCGGCGTCGGTGCAGAGGAATTCGCCTGCAACTGCTGGCAACCTTCGCTGCACATGAAGGAAATATGTAAGAGGGTACGACCAGCGCAAGGTGAGGTACAACTTTGCTTTGGTCTTAAGAGGTCTTCAAGACTTGAGCTCAAAAGCTAACACCTTGCTCACAGGCCACTTTAAGCAGCAAGATTTCGCCACAGACACACCTGCATCAACACATGAGCACGGCTCAATTGAAAGCCACGGCACAGGACCTTGGCTGCCCCCTCTCGGCGCAGGATGCGGAGCTTCAGTTCTGGGTGCTCCTTGGATGCCTCAAGTGGTCTTTGCCTCTCCATGCTACATGTGCCACACACTCCCAGTCTCGGTGTTGCCCCAATGATCACTCTTTTCTCAGCAGGGTGGCCGAGCGAAGCAAACCGAGGAGCCCGGCATACCTGCCAGAAACCATGCTGAAGTTACTTGGCGTGTGAAGCTGTGCAATTGTCCGGCATCCGACATCCGCCTTCATGACACCCAGTGCCAGGCTCGCAGAAGGAAGTGCCAAAGCACACAATCTCGACCCAAGCCCACGGAAAGATGGAAGGAGACTGACCGTAGAAGTTGGTCTTCAAGCAGCGTGCAGACTGGAAGCAATATCGAGTAGAGGTGGTGGCCTGACTGCATCCTGCAGAACGAAGAAAATCTGGAGCCCATGAGCGCCACGGGCCAACCTGAACAAGGCTCAATTCAGCCTTCGCATCTGGCTTCGCAACATTACAGAGCTCCAAATAGTGCCGTGGGGGCCCTAAAGGCCAGCTCCTTTGGGTACGACTGGTTTCAAAAGTCTGCAGGCTGGAGGCCGTTTCAGGAAGGCCATGCAATGAAGCAGAAGGTCCTCCTGGGTGGTATCCTTCAGACATCCAAAACATCTCCAGACATGCCATGCAGGTTTCGCAAGATGCATCTTGGCCTGGGTCGGGTCTATGTGTCATGGAAAAATCGCGTTGCTGACCCCTTGTCTGCCCGCTCCTCCACGCCAGGTTCCTAGACAGGCAAGCGTCTTCGGAAGATGCGTTGCCAGGGCAGAAGGAAGTCGTATCTCTGAACATTACCGAGCACAAGAGCTCTTTGCTTGATTCCGAAACCTTGCCCTCCCAAGCAATGCCAATGCTTCTGATGCAGGGGTTACGGACGACGCCCCTCGGGGCACAGAGCAGCCGAGATTCTTCGGTGCTGGAGCCGACGAAGATGAAGGCCCTGCCTTCACGTCTCTGCGCGCTCTCATCACGTCCCAGAACCCAACACAAACTGTAAGGAACACTGCTGTGCAGCTGTTTTGGGCCCGGCATTGGTGCTGACTTTAATCCTGTGCTCTCTCTCCGGTTTTGCCATCTTCTCTTCACCAGGTCCTCAGAAAGAACTAGCCTGCAGCCGCCGCTGCTTTCATCGCCCGGCTCCATGTCGTCTCGATTACGCAGCCAGGCAGGCCCTGCAACATGCACAAGTTGCAGAAGATCTCAAGCCCTGCCCCGTTGTGCGATCGGTTCCGACATGCCTCAGGCATACTTTGTCCGTCCAGAAGCACCGCCGCCGAAGTCCTGTGCAGCTTCTCACGCACTTCAGCACACTCCACCTTGAAGATCATGATGGGATCCGCGCAAGACAAGTAAGTCAGAAGTTAACCCGATCAGTGATGAGAAGAGACCCCAGCAAGCAACCCAGCATTGATCCTGCTACCTGCCGCAAGATCCGATACCAGCAAGACATAAAGTCGGATTGACATACCACTGAGCATGCAAAATGCCCAAAGCCCAGCCAAGTCTCAGTCGAGCAGGGCTGAGCCGAACCTTCTCTCGGCCTGAAGCTGCGATGCTGGCTGCTCGAGACGAAAGCTCGGGCTTCATGATCGCGTTGCAGCCCCTTCATTTACAGTAGGTGCTGCAAGGTTTACAGCGCATGCTCGCGTTGCAAAGTCAGGCTGTAGTTCACGCCCATTCCAGAATGTCGAAGCTTTGTACGACATGCCTGGCGAACACAACGCACTCGCCCCTTCACTGATACAGTCCGCGCAGCTCTCTTCGTAGAACCACTCCTGTCGGACATGCGATCACCGGAGGCCACGCAAGGATTGCAAGAGTCAAAGCATAAACAAAGCTTACATCATTGGGCCTCCAGCGTCCTCTCTCGAGAGGCTGTGCCGGCTGTGACTGGCGCAGCCGGTGCGGAGGCCGGCGCAGCCGCCAGGAGCTGGGACAGCGAGCGAAGGGAGTCCACTCAGAGAAAAAGCTCCATTTGTAACAGCCTGGCTGGCAAGAGCCCGCGCCTCTCGGACAGGAGTCCGAACCCATTCCATTGCTGGTGGCAGCGGCTGTGTCCTGGGCAGCCAAGGGCCGCTGCCCGCACAGTCGCACAACTCATGTACTCAGTTATGCTGCTATGCTTGCCTCGATGGTCAGATCACGAATCACACCATGCCATCGCATTCGACACCTTACCTCGCTCGGCAGTATTGTTGATCCACGCCGCTCGCCGCCATGACCCAGTACCACGTGTGCGTTGGTGCCGCCTGTTGCGAACAGGAACGACAGAAAAGACGGAATTCATCCTTGCACTTGCCATGGCTGAGCATCTGCATTCTAAGCGAAGAAGGACGAGGCAACAGGGCGATGTGACACGGACCCTGCCTACGCCAAAAGAGCTCACTCCCGTCAGTCGGCCTCAAGCCGTGGTCAATGAACCGTTTTCAGTTCATCTACATTAAAGCCTACAGCCGCATGGGCTTGACTGCATCCTTTGCAAGCGGTTCGACTTGGCAGCATACGCTTGTATGCCGCATCCTCCCGGACACATCTAGGCTCGCGGCAATCGAACTTCATGGCTTCGGATGCCAGCAAAAGAGGGGTCCTGCACAGCTTCTCACTGTGCTAGCGGGTTCTTGTGCTTGTGTCACTAGCTTAGCACCTGTATGGGGGATGACGAAGTCCTGCCCCAGTCCACCTCCTTCGTCGGAGTGTCTGCGAACAGGCTTGGAACCAGCATCTGCCGGTTCAGCATCATAACTGCCCTGAGCAAGGGCTTCGGGTGCAGCCTTGCAGGCTCCTTTGAGGTCTCAAGCGGATTTGGCGAGCGGTGAAAGCTGCCCGGCAATTCAGAACCGGACGAAGAGATCTGTCTTCCCTGTCTGCATGGCATCAACCCGGCATTTAAGCTGCTGACTTGATGAAGCCCGGGACTCCTCGACAGATGGACTTTGGAGTTCGTCCCCGTCTTCAGCTGAGTACTGGGAACTGCCCGTAAATGCCCTATCTTACAAGACTCAAACCGGAAGTGAAGACGAGGTTTACTGCCACGGCCTGCCTTGCTGGGCCACATATTTCAACCTTCCAAATCCACGCGACCATGAGACGAATAGAATCTGTGTCCGCCCTGGCGATCGCCCAAAAAGCACTCCTGCGACCGTGTTCAGGTGCCCCACATTGCCCTTGACGGAGCCCAGGTATACGCGGCGCTCCTCCCAGCGGTCTGTTTTTGCTTTGGCGGGATATGCTGCACATACCGGCATCACTGGTGTCCACCTGAAGCTGGCATCTTCGGCTGTTGGACCTGCAAGGACCTTGCCTTGAAACAACGCGGTGGCCTGGTGTCCCTTCTTTGTTGCATCTCTCACTATGCTTGAAGAGTATCCTCCGAAACCGCCCCATGATCCTGCTCCAGCACCTGCGTCAATGCATGAATTTCCAGGGGGTCTCCGATCTTCGTTCCGGTTCCTCAGTTTCCGAAAACCACTTGCCAGAACAAGCCGAACAAGGGCACTGGAAATTAGTTGAAGGGACTGAAGAACTGTTCCAAATCCTGCTCTTGTTGAGAGCCCTGGCACAGTCGAGGCCTTTGGACTCTGTCAGCTCAAGCCAAGCAGCCATGCCCTTCCATGTAGTCAAGCTGCGAGCCTCTCAAGATGAGAAGGGACTTCAATCACGAACCAATCATCAAAGATGCCTTCTTGCAGGGCAGCATCAGCATGTGCCCGGGAGATGCACTCCACCTGACCCTGGTAGCTGGGCCTCGGCGAGACCAGAACTCTGAAAGGTGATCAACTTGGCTGCTATACATTGAACTGCAGGGAATGGTGCGAACGTGCGCTTCCCTGTCCTTCCAAAACGACTGTGCTGTGTTGCTTTCTCAGCATGCTGATGTGTGCTGGCACCTGCACGTACTTCCCCTTTTTGCCGTGACACACTCGCACTTGCAAGCAACGAGGACTCGCATACACTTCCTCGATGGACTTGGGTCCCAGCGCAGAGAAGTGGGCCTTGCGGGAGCCGTCGTTGTTCACCGCAGCTCCTGGCAGAATGCACTTTATATCACTTTAGAATTGGGAGCTATAGTGACCTTGTCCTGATTGCGCTTCTGCAGGGGCATTGTGATAGCAGGCTAGGTGCCAAATCCCCCATCTACTCAGCTTGGAACGAGCCAAAGCTCGTGTTCGACTCGTACAATCTCCCACCCCCAGCGTTCCCGTCCTAGAACGCTCGCGAATAACGGATGTTCTGCCACCCTCGCTGCGTCCAAAAGTGAGAGGACGACCTGGCTTGCCCAAGTTCAGCATACATGTGAGCCGTCTGGCACAGCTTCGACACCATACATGGTTCAGTGAATCTGAACCCTCTGGAGTGCCGAAAACCAGCCCGGAGCCACGACTCCTGCGCCGTCTGCGTTGGTGGTACCATTAGCGCCCTGCCAGCACAGGGCAGATGCTCTACGCGTAGGTACAATATGCGTATTGGGTCTTTGTGATGAGCGGGTTCAAGCCCAGAGAACAGCTAGTGCTCGGAACCTGAAACCATGGCTGGCATGCTACCGGGAGAAAGTGAAGAATTGGAAAGCCGAAGGATTCCAGCCTCAGCATACGGCCGGCAAACCTTTGCAACAGGGGGGGCTGAAAAGACTGTCGCCGACGACGACCACCAATGTTAGTACACTGAGTACGAGAACTATCGGGTGCATGAAACTTGGTGTGCAAAGTCGCAAAAACGGCGGAATCCGCCGAGGCCACCGGCCCAAGCGTCTTGGCGGTTACCTCAAGCCGTTTTTGGCGTCCATTTTCCACCCCCCTCCCCCGCCCGCCTGATTCTACTTCATTTTTTGTCTTCTGGAACCTTCACTTTTTGCTGTTTTTCTGTTTTTAGGCGTTTTCCCCCCTGTTCCCCTACCCCCTCCTACCCACCCCCCCCTTACAGTACCCACCTCCAACCCCCTTTCCTGTTTTCCTGCCCCTTCCCGCCTCCCCTCCCCACCCCTTCTTC